CTGTGCCCCTCCCCCCCCACCCCCACTCCACTCCCACCCCCCGCTTTGTGTGCACGAGGCAAGTGCCTCACTACCTCGCCCTTGTTATGGCACTGAGTGAAACCCGCGGGTTCAATGTATTGTCCCCCTGTAACCTGCTGCCTTAGGTTCACCTCTCGCGCTCGCTCTGTGGCTCTGGCTCGCTGCGTTCTCTTTTTATTATTTAAGTCCCCAGGATGTGCAGGTGTCTGTATGGCTGTATCCTTCCTCCTGCCGTGCCCCCTCCCTCCCTACGGTTGGGTGCCCGTATTGGTCACATCGTTCTAAACCCAGACTGGATCCATCTGGGGTGGGGACCAAGTTCTTCTATTTGTAGCCCACGATGTTCAGAAATGGCTAGTGACTGTGGGTGCCTCAGTTTTCAGGTGCCCAACTGGAGACACTTAAAGGGGCCTGATTTCCGGGGTGGGGGCTCAGCACATTCTGAGTGTCAGGCTCCTCTGAGCTGGGTCAAGCTGGGCCCTGGCCCCACGAGTCACTTTTGACAATCTTGGCCATAGTGTGAAGTGCCCAGGACTTTAAGGCTGTAAAAACACCAATTGCTATTAACAAACAACCGATGAGAATTTTCAATGCAGTCACTGCTGTCACAAGTCCTTCTGTCAAATGTTGTACCCAAGTTTCAAACCCACAGAGAACACTGTACCTTGGGGCTGCTGATTCAGCTCGGAGACCCAACGTGTATTCTTCCTTCAGAGTCCGCTGGTCCCTGCAGCCTGTACGCCGTCCACCGCAGCCGTGGGGCTTTCACGGAAAAGTCAGATGTTTACATGGTTTCAGACTCTATCTGACACAGTTAAACTGTTTCCCTTTCACTTTCTATATGGGGTCACGCCCATGGGCTGTAGGAGGCCGTTACTTGGTCAGTGGACTCCACTGACAGGAAAACAGCTTGGAGCTGATTTACCAGAGTTGTTTTCTCAAATCAGTTCTCAGAAAACGAGACCCCAGGAGACAATCTGGCAAGCACAGCTCTGCTCATGGTTACTCAGGGGCGGCAAGTTGTATGGGCCCCTGGTGCCCGGGCTCCAGCAAAATCAGGGCCTGGGGGGTCCCGGCTCCACCAATGTTTGGGGCTGGGTCTCTCCGCTGGCTCCGCCTGCCGTCCCAACCCCCACGCACACCCCCTCCCCTGAGCATCCCCCGGCCTCGCGTGCCCCCTCCCCTACCCTCAGACTCCCCACGGAGGTGATGTGACACCTCAGGACTTAAGGCCTCTCCAAGAGCCTCCAACCCCAAGGTTGCGAAGCCTGATTGTTCCCCCTGCCCGAGTGACTCTGGGACCCACCTTAGCTCCCTGGAGCCTTCCTGCTCCTTGGGCGGATGGTAAATCTCAGGCCATAGCGTGCTGGTCTCCTGGGACTGTTCCCCTTTCCCCTTCCGTGGCCTCCAGGCCTCACCCGCTTCATTTAACCACCAGCCCCCCACGTCCACCCGGGGTGCACCTTGCTGAGGGGGCACTTCTGGAGCAGGGGTGTCCTGTCCCTTCCCCCCCTGCAACCGCCCCTGTCCCTGTCCCTTCTCACCCCCAGAGCTGCTCCTGGCCAAGCTGCTCCCGGGAGCCTCCTGATGTCAGGGTGTCCCCATCCCCCTGCCCGTGTTCCCTGCCTCCGCTGAGCTGGGGGCCGGGGGGACAAGAGTTTGTGCGTCTGCCTCTGGGGCAGGAGTGGGATGGATCACCTGGTGATTTGCCTGTTCTGTTCATTCCCTCCGGGGCACCTGGCATTGGCCACTGTCGGCAGACAGGACACTGGACTGGATGGACCCTTGGGCTGACCCAGTACGGCCGTTCTTATGAATAACATTTCAGTGGTTGCCCTTTTTCTTCCACTATGAGCTTATATTATTTTGGTTGATGTCCATATATTGAACAGACAGTTGCAGTGAATACGGAAATTAAAAGAACTTGCATTGCACTTGTACTTTTACTTATAAATACACAAGTACTATTTCCACGCTATACGTGTTCTTATAAGTGCACCTGGCACTTATACGTAAGTCCTGAGGACACAGCAAAGAATAATACGGACTCAGAGAAAGATCATTTCAACTGGACTGGGAGCAGGGATGAGGCTGCATTTTGAGCAAAGGAAGTGATTTGTAGGTGTATATTGGGTTCTTTATTAAAGTTACAGTAATTCACACAAGAAACACCCCTGCACCATTCGGTCTGTCTCCCCTCGAGCTCCCGTTTCGTCTCTAGCGTGCGTTACCCTTGCTCCCTCGGGGGAAAGCATCACCGTGACCCAGACTAGGTCAATGGAGCATTGAAGCAGGTGCTACTTAAGGAGCACATAAGCCCTGTATGAGTCCTGCGTGAAGGTGGGAATTTTACCCTGCGTTGAATTCGATACAACTGATCTTTATTTAAGAGAAAAAATATTCAGCCTGAAATCTAAAGAGTCTATTAATTCTCAGACTTTAACATAGCTGGTCTGCGATCAGAACTGGTTTTGGGTGCTTCTGGCACATACAGAACGTAGCCATTCATCAAATAAATACTTCCCGTATAAGGGAAAAGAAACAGGCAGGACTGAAATAGCCCAGGGCCTTACCTACCGCAGCCGTGCCTGGGTCCCAGGCCTGCCCACCCGCACACTGAATCGCACCTTACGCTTCAAGTGACCTGCTGGGACTGACCGGGGAGTAAGGTCCTACACACAGTGACCAAGGGCTCCGGCTGCCCCAGGGAGGGGCGCTAGGTGAGAACCTAGGTTGAAATGAATGATGGCTACTTCCGGAGACACTGCCTTCACTTCTTCCCTGCAGTGCTGCTTTGCAAAGACAAGATACACAAAACGTTTGGGTAGGGACGGGGAGGACAACCCTGTAAAAACAGCTACTATGGGATCACTTGGCCCATATGAAATATTTAACTGCTTTCTCTATGGTCTAAAGCAGTGGTTCTCAACCAGGGGGATGTGTACCCTCTGGGGGGACGCAGAGATCTTCCGGGGGTACGTCAGGTGAGCTAGAGATTTGCCTAGTTTTACAACAGGCTATGTAAAAACACTAGTGAAGTCAGTACAAAGTAAACTTCAGACAGTGACTTGTTTATACTGCTCTCTACCCTATACACTGAAATGTGAGTACAATCTTCATATTCCAATTGATTTAATTTATAATTACATGGTACAAAAGAGAAAGTCAGCAATATTTCAATAATAGCGTCCTGTGACACTTCTGTATTTTTAGGTCTGATTTTGTAAGCAGGTAGATTTTAAGTGAGGTGAAACTTGGGGGTGCACAAGACAAACCAGACTCCTGAAAGGGGGGCAGTCATCTGGAACAGTTGAGAGCCACTGGCCTAAAGCAGCGGTTCTCAAGCTATTTACCATGGTGGGCCGCACATGCAGCTCTCTGTGTTATGTGGGCCACATCCACACCATATACATAGCACCTGTCGGGCCCTGAGGATGACACATGGGCTGTAGCTATGTGTGATTGGGCCACAAGCAGCCCGCGGGTTGAGAACCACTGGTCTAAAGCAAATCTAAGTAATATTCAATCCAGCACCACAGCAAACGAATCACTGCAGCAGAGGCAATCCCGTGCTTTTGAAAAATCATTAACAGGAGAGATCTTAAGACTGGATGTGAGAACGCGCCATCCCAGAGCAGGGAGGTCGGGATTTTCAGAACAGCTCAGAAACGGGGTACGGGGCACTCTGGAAAATGTGTCCCCTTGTTTAGGTGCCGAGTGCTTTTGGAAATATGACCCCAGTGACGGGTGGTGCATGTGAAAAACCCAACCCCAAGGAGGGGCGAACACAACAGGTACTTCCTTACCAGCCAGGAGAGGGACAGACGGAGCCGGCAGCTGCTATCTGGGGAAAGGGCACGTTATGGCTCAGGTGAGTTTGAACTGCCAGCTCCAGAAAGGCATGCTGGGAACAAAGCTTCTATAAAAGGGCTACCTGGCGCTAGGGGAGTTAATAGGAGCCGAGGCAGGGGAAGGAGACTTGCTTTGGTGGTGAAATAATGCAAATGAAGCACTAATTGGCCAAAGAGGAAAGAAGAGGGAGCCAACAATTCCTGCCTTGTCACTGTTGCCTCTGTACCTAGTAACACAACAGAACGAGTGCGGGGGGGTGGGGGAGATCCCGCTCCAGTACTGGAAACGCGAGCAATGAGCAGCAATGGGCCCAGGACAAACGGTGCCAAAGCAGA